TGGCGAATAAAAAACGATTTGTTGATCGATTCATGTGAAAACTTCATTTGGGAATTGAAAGTTTCTTCATACGTTTACAGTGATCGTAGCGGCTGCTATCGATCGTATCGTCGTTTCTTCCAACGTCTTAGTACGGTGTGCCATACTTCCTTTAGCTCTTTAATACAGTTTCACAGTCTTTCAAATTCTGAGATATTTTTTAACAACAGCATTAAACGGTTCGGCGACATACATATTCGACATAACAAATGAAGCGCCATAAGTGTCAAATCGTTACTAATCTTGATGACGCCACCTCATCTGTTAAGGTTGACAATACTATTCTGATTTAGGCTGCTGATGTACTGGGTTAAGGCTGCACGTTCACCGAAGGTGACCCAAAGATACCAGCATAAGTTACTACTGAGATGGAGTGAGAGGGGGTGTTACGAGGTTGCAGTGTAAACCAATAAAATGAAATAAGAACATGATAAAACTTCAAAAATAATATTTAGTTATGGAGGAGAATGGGAATGATCAATAAATATGACAAGATTTCGCTTTAATTTATATAAATTTACGATTCCGTTGATTTTAACATAAGTTAGGGGAATTTCCCAACTTTCCGCACGGTGAAATATTTTTAAAATTTAATATTCGTTTTATATATCACCATCAAATACACTGTATTAATGAACTGGATGAGAAAATATTCTTTCTTGGATAAATTACGCTTTAACTGAGTTAAATAGACGATTTCTCAAATATTTTCATCAAATTGGGGGGAATTTCCCTACTTTCCGCACGGTGGATTTTTTTTAAATTTTAATATGTATTTTATATTCGTCCACCAAATACACCGTATTAATGAATTGGATGAGAAAATATTCTTTCTTGGATAAATTACGCTTTAACTGAGTTAAATAGACGATTTCTCAAATATTTTCATCAAATTGGGGGGAATTTCCCTACTTTCCGCACGGTGGATTTTTTTTAAATTTTAATATGTATTTTATATTCGTCCACCAAATACACTGTATTAATAAATTGGATGAGAAAAAATTATTTTTTGCATAAATGGGTTATTCCCTGCGCTCCCAAAAGCGTACAATCTAGATTCTAAATCTGAACCTATCCTGGTACACCCTTTATATTCAGGTTGTGCGTCATCTTTGTGTCCATATTTCGAGAGTACCGAATTTCCCTACTTTCCGCACGGTGGATTTTTTTTAAATTTTAATATGTATTTCATATTTGTCCACCAAATATACCGTATTAATGAATTGGATGAGAAAAGATTCTTTCTTGGATAAATTACGCTTTAACTGAGTTAAATAGACGATTTTTCAAATATTTTCATCAAATTGGGGGGAATTTCCCTACTTTCCGCACGGTGGATTTTTTTAAAATTTTAATATGTATTTTATATTCGTCCACCAAATACACTGTATTAATGAATTGGATGAGAAAATATTCTTTCCTGCATAAATTATTTTTTAACTGAGTTGGATAGACGATTTCTTAAATATTTCCATTAAATTGTGGGGAATTTCCCTACTTTCCGCACGGTGGATTCTTTTTAAATTTTAATATGTATTTTATATCTGTCCACCAAATACATTGTATTAATGAATTTGATGGAAAATATTCTTTCTTGCATAAATTATGCTTTAACTGAGTTGGATAGACGATTTCTTAAATAATTCCATTAATTTGGGGGAAATTTCCCCACTTTCCGCACGGTGGATTTTTTTTAAATTTTAATATGTATTTTATATTCGTCCACCAAATACACTGTATCAATAAATTGGATGAGAAAAAATTATTTTTTGCATAAATTGGTTATTCCCTGCGCTCCAAAAAGCGTACAATCTAGATTCTAAATCTGAACCTATCCTGGTACATTTTTTATTTTCAAGTTGTGCGTCATCTTTGTGTCCATATTTCGAGAGTACCGAATTTCCCTACTTTCCGCATGGTGGATTTTTTTTTAACTTTTAATATGTATTTTATATTTGTCCACCAAACACACTGCATTAATGAACTGGATGAGAAAAAATTCCTTCTTACCTAAATTACGCTTTAACTGAGTCAAATTGACGATTTCTTATATATTTTTTAATTGAGGGGGAATTCCCTACTTTCCGCACGGTGGATTTTTTTAAATTTTAATATGTATTTTATATTTGTCCACCAAACACACTGCATTAATGAATTGGATGAGAAAAAATTCCTTCTTACCTAAATTACGCTTTAATTGAGTTAAATTGACGATTTCTTATATTTTTTTCTTCAATTGGGGGAAATTTCCCTACTTTCCGCACGGTGGATTTTTTTTAAATTTTAATATGTATTTTATATTTGTTCACCAAAAACATTGCATTAATGAATTGGATGAGAAAAAACTTCTTCTTACCTAAATTACGCTTTAACTGAGTCAAATTGACGATTTCTTATATTTTTTTCTTCAATTGAGGGGAATTTCCCTACTTTCCGCAAGGTGGATTTTTTTTAAATTTTAATATGTATTTTATATTTGTCCACCAAATACACTGTATCAATGAATTGGATGAGAAAATATTCTTTCTTGCATAAATTATTTTTTAACTGAGTTGGATAGACGATTTCTTAAATATTTCCATTAAATTGGGGGGAATTTCCCTACTTTCCGCACGGTGGATTTTTTTAAAATTTTGATATCTCTTTCATATTTGTCCACCAAACACACTGCATTAATGAATTGGATGAGAAAAAATTCCTTCTTCCCAAAATTACGCTTTAACTGAGTTAAATTGACGATTTTTTTATATTTTTTTCTTCAATTGGGGGGAATTTCCCTACTTTCCGCACGGTGGAATTTTTTTAAATTTTAATATGTATTTTATATTTGTCCACCAAAAACACTGCAATAATGAATTGGATGAGAAAAAACTCCTTCTTACCTAAATTACGCTTTAACTGAGTTAAGTAGACGATTTCTCAAATATTTTCATCAATTTGGGGGGAATTTCCCTACTTTCCGCACGGTGGATTTTTTTCAACTTTTAATATGTATTTCATATTTGTCCACCAAACACACTGCCTTAATGAACTGGATGAGAAAAAAATCATTCTTACCTAAATTACGCTTTAACTGAGTCAAATTGACGATTTTTCATATATATTTTTTAATTGAGGGTGAATTCTCTACTTTCCGCACGGTGGATTTTTTTTAAATTTTGATATGTATTTTATATTTGTCCACCAAATACACTGCATTAATGAATTGGATGAGAAAAAATTCCTTCTTACCTAAATTACGCTTTAACTGAGTCAAATTGACAATTTCTTATATATTTTTTTCAATTGAGGGGAATTTCCCTACTTTCCGCACGGTGGATTTTTTTTTAATTTTAATATGTATTTTTTATATTTGTCCACCAAATACACCGTTTTAATGAATTGGATGAGAAAATATTCTTTCTTGGATAAATTACGCTTTAACTGAGTTAAATAGACGATTTTTCAAATATTTTCATCAAATTGGGGGGAATTTCCCTACTTTCCGCACGGTGGATTTTTTTTAAATTTCAATATGTATTTTATATTTGTCCACCAAATACACCGTATCAATGAATTGGATGAGAAAATATTCTTTCTTGGATAAATTACGCTTTAACTGAGTTAATTAGACGATTTCTCAAATATTTTTATCAAATTGGGGGGAATTTCCCTACTTTCCGCACGGTGGATTTTTTTCAAATTTTAATATGTATTTTATATTCGTCCACCAAATACACTGTAATAATGAATTGGATGAGAAAATATCCCTTCTTGCATAAATTATTTTTTAACTGAGTTGGATAGACGATTTCTTAAATATTTCCATTAAATTGGGGGGAATTTCCCTACTTTCCGCACGGTGGATTTTTTTTAAATTTTAATATGTATTTGATATTTGTCCATCAAATACATTGTATTAATGAATTGGATGAGAAAATATTCTTTCCTGCATAAATTATGCTTTAACTGAGTTGGATAGACGATTTCTTAAATATTTTCATCAAATTGAGGGGAATTTCCCTACTTTCCGCACGGTGGATTTTTTTTAAATTTTGATATCTATTTTATATTTGTCCACCAAACACATCGCAATAATGAATTGGATGAGGAAAAATTCCTTCTTATCTAAATTACGCTTTAACTGAGTTAAATTGGAGATTTCCTATATTTTTTTCTTAAACTGGGGGGAATTTTTCTACTTCCCGCAAGGTGGATTTTTTTCAAATTTTAATACGTATTTTATATTTTTCCACCAAATACACTGTATTAATGAATTGGATGAGAAAATATTATTTCCTGCATAAATTACGCTTTAACTGAGTTATATTGACAATTTCTTGAAAATTTTCCTTAAATTGGGGGGGATTTCCCAATTTTCCGCATAGTGGAATTGTTTTAAAATTTAATATATGTTTTATATATCTTCATCAAATTCACTGTATTAATGAATTGGATGAGAAAAAATTATTACTTGCATAAATTACGCTTCAACTCAGTTAAATTTTAGATTTTGTCGATAAATGAGCTTCTGAGCAATAATTCATTTTATCGAAGAAAAAATGTGTTGTTTCAATCATTTTTGTTTTTTATTATGTTTCAGGTCTGTCGTCAGTTTCTAAAAGGGAGAATCACCTAATTTTTTGCATCCATGTAGCCGCAATTAAGTGAATTCGCGACAACTGTCGTGGAACATGGCGGGTTCAAATTTGGAAAAATTGGTAACTGTCCGCTGGAAGTGGCCGCTAGCTTTACCTAGGTCATTGTAACAACCATACGGTACCGGTACCGTACATGTCACAGGTGTAACGCAGATTTGGCATTTTCAGTATTTTCGATGGTACCGGTACCTGTAATCAATGTTGCAGTAAAATTCTGAACGAAAATAAAAAGTTACCGTAGTGAGTATGAAAACCTTTTGAAACTGAGTTTATAAAACCATAAGATACGGTAGATAAGACTAAGATAAGTTTATTTCGACTCCCAAGACTCCATAATCAGCATAAAAGGTGATATATAATGATTGATAAAAACATAAATAAAAACTGATTATGAAATAAGGAGAGCAAACAAAACCTTGGATAAGGTTTAAAACATACCGTACAGAAATAAGATGGAAGATTTTGCCAAAAAGAAGTGGTACCGGTACGTGTTCACTCACCTACTGACATAAAATTATTAAATTAATTCACACACACAACCATAGAGCTTTAATAAAGTTAGAAAAAGGAGCTTTGGTTAAATTTTATAGTAAACAAACAAAAAAATAAATGAACAAGTAAAAAACAAATTAGAATAAAAATACGAATTGTAATTAGAAGTAAGAATTGCTTGCCACACCATTGTCATAATTTTATAAAAATTCCGAAATGAAGTACAGATTTATGTAAACAAGAGTGAACAGTATTTAATATGAAGACAAAGAGAAAAAAAGATTTCGCCAAGCTGATTATAGGCCTACTTGGAGTCAAATGCCAAATTTCCCAATCAAAGTTGCCATCATTCAATTTAATTACCGGTATGTCTCTAAACTTATCGAACTTCTTTTCCTCCGCTGTAGATTGCTTTACCATGTGTAAATTGCAAGAGTCTTTCGAACGTTTAGTAATGCTATATTAACATTTCACTGTATTACTAACTGAATAATATCTGTGCAGTGTTCATTTTTAACACTGTAATATCCAATATTCGTATTACTCTTTTTTCCTTCTAATATATGCAGTTTATCTCAGACATTATTGTATACCCTGAAGCTGTTGGAAGCATTCTGTTGCCTGCTTGTGTAATCTTGCATAATACGTCAAGCACAGAAAGATTTTATGGAAATAAGATCATGCTTACTGCCAACTTCACTCCACTTGTTCATAAAATCTTCACCTTGGGTGCGATTCACACATTGGTTTAGACCATTTTGGGGTCGAAAGCTAGGCATTTTCATTATTGGAGTTGCCGTTTTCTCAATAATTTTGTTCACAAAGCACTTCTGGATTCAAATTCCTGAATCATCCACATTTTCAAGTCAAGATAGTGTTGTACAACTGCATAGAAAATCTGCTTATGAGAATTATCGGACACTAAATGATCCACTTTCAACAGATTATGGTGATCCGGTGTTGGTTGATGTACTACCTCCCCAATCGATCCGAACTACAGCTCAAGCATATAATAAAATAAATGACAACCAACTTGATTTTTCTTATGGAGTTATGATAGACTGTGGTAGTAGTGGATCACGAGTGTTTGTATATTATTGGCCCAAGCATTCTGGACATCCTTCCGAGCTCCTACAAATACGACAACTCGTTGATGATGGTGTACCTGTTGTTAAAAAAATAACTCCAGGTATAGCAACAGAGGTCAATAATCCTCATGCTATTAGTGCTTATATGAGACCACTCTTATATTATGCGTCAATGCATATACCAGAAGAAAAACACAGAGAGACTCCATTGTATGTCATGTGCACTGCTGGCATGAGAATGCTTCCGAAAAGATTGCAAAATTCTGTTCTAGATCAAGTTCAAAAGGCAGTTCATAAGTTTTCTAATTTTCAATTTTATCCGTCACATGCTGAGGTTATCAGTGGAATGACTGAAGGCTTATACTTTTGGATGGGATTGAACTATGCATTGGGTAATTTACATCAACCTAACCATGCTGTATCTGATAATTTGATTGAAATGACCGCACACAAACAAACGCAGCGTTTGCCAACTGTGGGAGTTATAGACATGGGTGGTGCATCTATGCAAATTGCGTTTGAAGTGAATAGAGATGACAGAAAGGATTACTCCAAACAAATTATGGAAATTAATCTGGGCTGTAATGAGCACAAATCGGAACATGAGTACACAGTTTTTATTGATACTTTTTTACACAAAGGAGGGAATGCAGTGAGAAGTATATATGAAAGAGATATTGTGTTAGACTTTTATTCAGAAAATAACTCAACATCGACTGGTATTATTAAAGACCCATGCTTGCCTGTTGGATTTGTTCAAGATGTAACATATTCTGTAACAAAAGACAATAAAATATCATTGACTTTGAATGGGACAGGAAATTATTTTGCATGTAAAAAGAAGTTAATAACATATTTAGATAAATCTGACTGCAATGATAATTCACCTACTTGCATTATTAATGGAAGGCATATGCCACCTATCAACAATACGAATAGCAATTTTTTTGGCTCATCAGAATTTTTCTATTGTATGAATGATGTATTAAGGATTGGTGGTGTCTACGATAAGTCAAAGTATGAGTCAAAAGCAAATGACTATTGTGCTACATCTTGGAAAACAACATGGGAGAAGTATTCAAATGGGTTCTATGAATATGCAGATGCTCATCGTTTGCGTTTTCAGTGTTTTAAGTCAGCATGGGTATCCATAGTTCTTCATGAGGGCCTTAATTTTCCTTCAAATTATAATCATCTCACATCTGTTAAATTTATAAACAAGAGTGAGATTCAATGGACTTTAGGTGCAATTTTATACAAAACCAGATTCTTGCCATTACGCGAAATCCAGTTGCAGTCACTACAAGCAAGAAATGAGGAAAGAAAGCAAGGTTTATTTGAATCCTTTTCTTATCCTTTTATGTTGATGGCACATTCCCCTATTTTTTTGTTTGTTTGTATTGCAATAGCTGCTTTTTGTTTGATAATTTCAGGTATTCGATTTTGTTTAAACTCAAATCGTAGTAAGGTTGCTAGTTTAAGAAGAGTTGGATCATCTGTTGCTTATTTTGTTCATGAAGAAGCCTAATCCTATTGCTGGGCAACCATTGTATACACAAGGTTAATATGTGTGAAGTGGTATTCCCTTTTTTGATAGGATTATTATACCGCATGTTGGCCAGAAAAAAGCCCCCAAAAAAAGAGTGATAATTAAATAAGCTAATCTCCGTGCTTTGGTATTATACGTTTGATAAATGCACCCATTGTAATCTATCCTTTAGTTGTCTCTGCACTGTGATATTAGAGTATAGTGTAATTTTGCCTCACTGCACTTAAACGTTATTATCAATTATGCTTAAATTCGTTTTTATTTATTGCTTCACCTAATTATATAGTCATAATCGTTCAACTGGTATGCAAGGTATTTATTTAAAAGTGTGAAGTGTGTGATGTATTTGTTGGTAGGAAATAAGCCCATTTTTAAGCAAGTTGTATTTGAAATTCTCATGCTGGCTGTGGTTTTCCTTATGATAAAAAGCTTTTTCATCAGCTCTCCTCTCCCTGGGATAAATAGGTAAATCTTATCCTCAACTGAGGTAACACAGCATCGTAAATTAGTCTTGTTCTGTTGCTGCTTTTAACCAACAGACAGTTCATTGTCAACTTGAGAGGGGACATACGTAGGGTTACCGTATTTTTGTGACTTCAAATCGGGACGCCTCGAAAAACAACGACCCATTAGCTGTGATTTTGTAACTTCACATTTTCCGATTTTACTACATAGGCCTACATTTAAAGCTGTCTTTATTGACCGTATTGTTATCGAAATTTCACGCGCATATTCTCTGTCCAAGTTCAGTTCGAAAAATAGGAAGTAATTGACGTTAACGATACCGGTACAAATAATTCGAATTCAGACTAATTAGTATTGGTTTTACATGCGATACGTCTGCCATCAATGGGAATCAGCGGGAAACGAACGCATTCACCTTCAGTAAATAGGCTAGCGCTGCGCTACACAGAAACAACAGTAACGAGAACATGTTTGTGTATTATGCTGAAAAAGCGAGACTTTTGGCTGACTTATCGGGACGGCGGGACAAAATGCTGAAAAGCGGGACTGTCCCGCCTAAAGCGTCCTATGGTAAGCCTAGACATACACCAAGAATTCTGTCTTATCAAAAAACGCATCACATACTAGTTTTAATTAACAATGAGTTTCACGCGAAAATACAGATACAGAAAGCCATTAAGTCTTTTTTTAAATTTGTTTCACAAAAAATGTATTTTTTTAAATTTGTTCCACAAAAAATGTATTTTTTAAATTTGTTTCACAAAAAATGAACTTTATCAGCTCTCCTCTCCCTGGGATAAATAGGCCAACTGAGGTAACACAGCATCGTAAATTAGTCTTGAGTCCCTTCCCCATAATGCGATCATTTTCACCAAAAAGCTTCTAATATGCTTTGTAATCACAGCAAACACTTCATTTTTTCATCAACATACTCTACAAATCCATCTCAACCACCTCCTATAAAATCATGCCGGTACCATGACCGGAAAACCGTTTATACTGCCTCTACTTTCACCTTGTCAGTGGGGCAATTACGATCAAAAACGTATATTTGCGATCACCAAAAATCTCGCCAATCGGAGCGCCGACGTTCCTGTTTTAGACCCTACATAGGTATGGAAAATGTTTGCGAAAGCAGCTTTTGGGTGTGCTGACGCGCCTACTGTCATCCGACAAGCTTATTACAAACGTTTTTTTTTTCAACCGAATCTCACCCACCCTACCCGATTACTGTATTTGATTCTACACGGGACAAATAGAATTGAATAGCATATCGACTCAACCTTGGTCCATTCGATAAACCGATAATAATTCCCCCTACTTTTTCATTAGTGATTACAATAAGTACTTAGGACGATGGTTTGTATTCAATCAACATGTGTATACATTTGCAGTATGGCGAACAGATTCCCGTGCGTGACTGGAAAAACAGCCTTATCTTGTCATATGATTAATTACGCACATCTCTTCACCCCATCACGACGATGTGTACAAAAATCCTAATCTTTCGGTAGAAGGCCGGTATGTTTACATTGCAGAGAACAATATTATCAAATTTATTTCTGCTTCTAAAATTATCGCTTCACAAATGCCAAGAAGTAGGTTTTTTATACAATTCAATGTGATCAAAGCCACAAAGATATACTATTTTTGGCTCCGCCGGAAACGCATTGCGGTTCAATATAATGAGAGGCAAAACCTATATTTTCGATGACTCCCAATGTTCTCTGCCCTCTGCAAGTATGTCAACTCCTAAACTGATAAATTTAAATAACTACAAATGGGGCTCGTAAAAAAATTTTTGTTAGCAATAATGAAATTTGACATTGGCGCTGGTACATTAAGAATCACGAGGGCGGTCAAAAACATTTAAATCAACAAGAAACATTCAGAGCCGAAATGGTTGGTGTAACCTACGGCAAATACAGGGTAGGTAAATATAATTTATTACGTCATTGATCCCTCAGTTATTGTTTATAAATTGATTGTGGGGAAAGATGTTATCTAATTTCGGAAATCTACATATCATGCAATATTTTTAAAACGAATATTGTGAAGAATAAGGGTCTCGATCATACATTTATACTTGATCGCAAATATGACCAAAGTGGAAATCGCGAGCGCCCTTTTTTCACACGTGGAATTATCTGCGATGCAATAAAGATAGAGACTCATTACTCCGGCGACGAATAGGAGAGAATATAAGTTGTTCCCACTCCAATTTTCACGGCTCTATCTTTATTTTAACCCCCCCATATGCTTGCGTTCTTCCTGAAACAGAAAAAGAGATTTCGTGCTCTAAAATTGGTCATTTTCGACCACTAGTGGCGTTTTGACCCAGAAAAATCTCATTTTTGGACGAAATTTGACGAGAAGCGAGCTGTGGGTAGGCGAGTAGGTATGGATTATGTATACCGAGCGGGAATCTATCACTGTTTCTAGTTTGACAAAAATAGGGTGCTGAAAGGTAGTGATCGTAAATGTGACGTGAACGCATATCGGGGAGGCGACTCTACTGTTGCTGCTTTTAACAAACAGACAGTTCATTGTCAACTTGAGAGGGGACATACACCAAGAATTCTGTCTTATCAAAAAACGCATCACATACTAGTTTTTCACTCGAAAATACTGATACAAATAGCCATTAAGTCTTTTTTAAAATTTGTTTCACAGAAAATGAACTTATGGTATTGTAAGTTCGATACGGAGAAAACTAGCGGACCAAAAATGTCCAAAATCATGCTCCAGCATACTTCTCATATTACCTATTAATCAACCCACCGCCAAAAAACTGGCCAGCGTGCGGATATCGGTAAGTATCGCCGCTGTGGGTCAATTTAAAAGTATTTGGAATAATTATCAACACTGACCACGTCGGACTCCCTTGATCTTTTAACTAGCGAGAGAGCAATGCTCAAATATATGGGCACGAAAACCAAGGCAGTAGGCCTACCTTACCTTTCGTGATTTAACAGCTAAGATTTACATATTTATCCAGGGGGAGAGAAGAGCCGATGAGACGGCTTAATCATATGACGAACCACGGCCTCTCGTCCGTTTACCAGTCCAGGTCGGGTATGGGATTAGTTACTATAGTTAGCCAGTTATTGGACACGTAGTGGACATAACGATCGTTTCAAAATTTTGTTGTTATTGGACACGTAGTGGACATAGCGATCGTTTCAATATTATGTTGTTGTTGTTCTTAGTGTCCTTGTTCTTTGACACGTTTTGAAGAAATCGCTTTTCTCTTCGAATACTGGACCAATTGCTTTGAAATTTTCAGTGGTTGAAGATAAAATTTTTCCCCAGAAGGCTATTACTTTTATTCATTTTAATTATTTCTGTTAGCTCTGTGAGATTTGTTTTTGTTTGCTATGACGTCATAAACGTTCTGCGGACATCGGACGCCATTTTGTGCATACTGTACTGCTTCGCTTGGTGTGAATATATTTGTAGACTGTGATCTGACGTTACGGTAAACCGTACTGTACTGCGAACAGACGTGTCCATATATTTGGGCGTAGCTCTCTTGTTGTTATTATTATTTGTCTCCATCATTTTTTTTTTTTAAATCGCTTTTCTCTTTGACTACTGGACCAATTGCTTTGAAATTTTCAGTGAGTAAAGTTTGATTTTTTTTGTCAGAAGGCTATTACTTTTATAAATTTCTAAATCAAAAGCTTTAGTGGCATCCAAAAAAGCTATGAAAACTGGTGATGATTTTTTAGAATAATAAGTAGCTAGCTCCTTTATTGTAAAAATGCACATGTCAGTCCCGTGACCAGGCTTGAAACCAAACTGGTTGTGAGATGTAGTTAAGTAAGACCCAATGTTATTTAAAATGTGAATTATTTTTTTCAAAAATCTTAGATAAGACAGAGGCCACTGCAAAAGGCCTGTAGTTACTTGCACTACAAATGTCACCATTTTTGTTCTTAATTATAGGCTGAATAGAACTTGAAAGGGAGGATGCTGGAATATAACTATGGTTCATACATGTGTTAATATACAAACATAAAAGCACTGATAGAATTGGATGAGAATATGCCAAATGTTCTTTGATTATCCCATCAGGACCAGGTGAACAACCAGATTTAAGTGAAGAAACAATACTTGCAAGTGCATCGACAGTGAGCAAGTAATTACTGAAACAGTTATCAACATCAGAATTCAAAAATCCTAACACAAAATTTTTATCATTTTCTTTGGTAACACTATTAAAAATTTCCTCAAAATGATTTTTCCACATATTAGTAATTTCATTCTGCCCAGTGGCACCCCCAACACTAGCTGAAAGTGGGCCGTTATTGTCCTCTGAAATGATCCGCTTAGCGCGAGACCAAAATTGTTTGGGATGGTTACACAATAATGATTTGGCAATAGCATCACATTGATTCCTTGTTCGCTCTCTTTTACAAGCTCGAAACAATCGTTTGAAATGCAATTTTGTTCTAACATATGCATCAAAGATACAGCCATGGCGAGGATTGTTATGATAAACCCACTCAAGATATGCTTGTCGAGCAGCAACATAAGAGTCTCAGACCTCACTGTTCCATCCAGGAATAGGCTTAATGTGCTTATGTAACGATCTAACATGCACCATGTGAGACGGTGAACTAATAAGGGCAGAACAAATATCATGGTTAAATTGATCAATGCTTTCACGGTGAGACTGGCAATTGATATTATGACATCGAATAGTCCCAAAAGGAATTTTTATAGAACTTAGGTTTTTAAAAGTTGAGGCAGAATATTGGTTCAGCTGCGATGATGAAGCTGAGCTCCAGGAAACAATTTGCTTAACTGCATGATCATTTTTTGTATCATACATGATA